GGTTTAGGGTTTATCTTGCCTAGCAAGACTGCGGGCCCGACGCTCAGGGCCGCGGGCGGCTCTCACGGCGAGGGTTTAGGGTTTAGGGTTCAGCGTCTGGGCCTCGGCTCCCCTAGCTGGCGTCCAGGGCGGAGGGCGAAGCAACTAGGGTTTAGGGTTTAGGGTTTAGGGTTTAGGGTTTGCGCACTGCAGAACTCGTCAGGGTCGGCCAAAAGGGGCTCGAAGAGCCCATTCAACACCAGCTTAACTACTGGGATCGTGTAGCAAAAGTCGATCCCCAGTTGCAGCAGTTCAGGGTCTAGTGCGAAGCCGCGGGCGTAGACAAAAAGGGAGGTTTGCAGCAGCAGCCGCTGCACTGCAACAGGAAGCAGCAGCAGCTGCTGCTGCAGCAGCCCCACCAGCCCCGACAGCAGCAGCTCCTGCAGAGCCTCAAACCCTAGGTGAAACTCGCTCCGGATTGCTTCTTGTTGGCTCTTGGAGGCGTCTTCGATTTTCTCCAGCCCTGCGCAAACCCTAAACCCTAAACCCCAAACCCTTGGCCAGCAGCCCAAACCCTAAACCCTACTCCCTAAACCCTAGCTCACCGTGCTTGGGAAGCAACTCGTCGATGTTGTAGTACACGTCCACGTTTCCAAGTCGAGAGGCACGCGTGGCAAAGGAGCTGCGGCAAAGCACAGCCCCTAGGGTTTAGGGTTTAGGGTATGGGGTTTAGGGTTTGGGGTTTAGGGTTTGGGACAAACCAAAACTTACTTGGGGTTTCGCAAGTCCAGCAAGGCGTTGCAAAAGAGAGCCCTGAAGCCTCGCAGCGCGTACATCCTCAGAAGCTCCATCAAATTTGAGGTCCCTGAGCAAACCCTAAACCCTAAACACTAAACCCTAAACCCTAAACCCTAAACCCCAAAGCCCAAACTTCAGGTTCCTTACTTTGAGGCCTCACCATTTGGTGACTTTCAGTGTTACGACCACATAATGATTCCCATAACCCTGAAACCAGCGTCCAAATCCCCACTCCAAAACCCTAAACCCTAAACCCTAAACCCTAAACCCTAAACCCTAAACCCTAAACCCTACCAGGGTCCATGCAAGACATAAGGTCCGGAACTTCTGCAACTTCTTGCCTCGCCACGGCTCTCATCAAGCAGCAAAAGAGGCCCCCAATGCGCCTGTCATCCAGCTCCATGTATACCTGCCAGCCACAAACCCTAAACCCTAAACTCTAAACCCTAAACCCTAAACCCTAAACCCTAAACCCTAAGCCCCAGACGAAAGAGCTCGCCAGCAGCGCTCTTTTGAGCTTCCTCTTGATAGCCGTTCCTGTGAGCTGCGCTTCACGGCTGGAAGTGCAGTGCCGCGACAGCAAAGGATTTAGGGTTTAGGGTTTAGGGTTTAGGGTTTAGGGTTTACTTGCTCGGTGACTCTCAGCACCACTTCTCTCTCTGTTTTCAAATTGACGGAAAACAACAGACGCAGCAAATAGGCTGGCTGCTGCTGCAGAATAAAAGCCAGGGGCTCCACCGCAGGCAGCTTCGACTGCAGCTCCTCGGGGGTTTTGTTGCTGCGTCCAAACCCTAAACCCTAAACCCTAATCCCTAAGTCCTGAGCGCTAGACCTTGCAACAGGAGCCCGAGGGGTTCAGTTTCAAGCCGTGACGCCTTTGCCACCTTGGATAATGCAGCAGCAGGCTGGGGCTTCGCAGATTAGGGTTTAGGGTTTAGGGTTTACGGTTTAGCGTTTGAGGTCTAGGGTTCAGGGTTTGCGAATTGAGGGACGCACTCCGCAGTATTCGCCAAAGCACAACGCGCTCGCGCAGCAACTCCGATTAGCTGCAGCATGGAAAACCCAACCCCTAAACCCTAAACCCTAAACCCTAAACCCTAAACCCTAAACCCTAAACCCAAAAGCAGGGCCTCTGTTGGACCCTTCTGCATTCAGAACTCGCAGGCAAACAACAAAGCGTCTCCTGTGAAGATCCCTCATCAACAGCGACAAGCTTAGGGTTTAGGGCTTAGGGTTTAGGGTTTAGGGTTTAGGGTTTGGGGCGCTGACGAGGGTTTGGTAGTGGGTTTCGAGCTGCTTGAGTTCTTTTTCCCTGTCTCCTAGCTGCAGCAGCTCGTTAATGTCTCTGTTTAAAATGGAGACAAGAGAGTCTTCGAGAGACAAAAGAAAGTCTGGGCGAGTTTCGAATTCTTCCTGCTGCAGCAGCTGCTGCAGCGCGGGCCACAGCGAGCCCACCATGCTGCTGCTGCTGCTGCTGCTGCTCGAAGCAGCAGCAAACCCTAGCCGCGACAGGAAACTCTGCACCGCCGCTTCGCTCAAAGTCTGAAACCCCCCGCAGCAACGACGCAGCTGCAAACCCTAAACTCTAAACCCTAAACCCTAAACCCTAAACCCTAAGCACCTGGTGCTTCTTCAGGAGCAGGCCTGCACGCACGCCGCTGCGCCTTGGGCGCGCCTGCCCTATGATCTAGGTAGGGTCTAGGGTTTAGGGCCGAGATTTGAGGGCCTAGCGTTTAGGGTTTAGTGCCTAGGGTTTAGGGTTTAGGGTTTGGACTGGGTTTGCAGCGTTCGTACGGGGTCAAGGTGGATTCTGTCTGCTGCTGCTGCTGCGTCCTGCAAGTCCGCGGGGTACTGGAAGCCGGTGTCTTCTGCTGCCGCTGCTGCTGCTGCTGCTGCTGAGGAGACACTTGGATCCGCCCAATTAGGGATTACCATTGCGGGGGTTTGCTGCAGCTGCTTCCGACGCCACCCCACACCCAGCCGCCCGCTCCCCGTGCAGCCCCACGCGTAGAGTTCCCCATTCCTGCAGCTCAAACCCTAAACCCTAAACCCTAAACCCTACGCGGCCGTCTTCGGTGACGGCGAGGCAGTGGTCTCCGCATGCAGCGACGGAGGTGAGCCTGGGGGGCCCCTGGGGGCCCTCAATTTGCACAAAAAGCTTCGGAGACAAAATGTGTTGGCTGCAGCAAAGGCTGCTGCTGCGGCCCCACACCCAGAGGTCTCCAGCAGCAGAGAGACACAGAGACACGGAGGCCCCCGCAGCAATTTGCCGCACCTGGAGACACGGGGACAGCGAACTTTCGGGATTTTTGAGGCCTTTGAAGGGACTTTGAAGGGCCTTCAGGATTTAATTGCTTTTGTTTCTTTTGCAGCAGATAAAGGGGGAAAATGCAGAAAAAACGAGACGAAAAGAAGAGAAATTAAAGAAAAAGGAGACAAAGTGGTGCGGGGGACACACAGGAGACTCAGGGAAAAGGAGATAGGCGAGATGAAAGGGAAGGAGAAAAGAAAGGAATTTTTATCATTCGAAGAGACAAAGGCAGAAGGCGACAGCTAGCCAATGCCTGCTGCTGCTGCTGCTGCTGCTGCTGCTGCGGTTGTCCCTCTTCGCTGCAGCAACAGCAGCAGCAGCGGCAGCGGCAGCACCACCCACACCATCATCATAACCGAATCATAGTCAGCAGCAGCAGCATCACCAGAATCAGCATAATCAGCAGCAGCATAGTCATCATAATCGGCAGCAGCAGCAGCAGCAGCAGCAGCAGCGGACTTTGACGTGTGTGGGGAAGGCTCTGGCGGGTGCGTAGACGTTGGCTGTGGAGCCGAGCAGCATAATCAGCAGCACAACTAGCAGCATAACCAGCAACATAACCAGCAGCAGCAGCAGCAGCAGCAGCAGCAGCATAACCAGCAGCATAACCAGCAACATAATCAGCAGCATAACCAGCAGCATAACCAGCAGCATAACCAGCAGCAGCATAACCAGCAGCAGCAGCATAACCAGCAGCAGCAGCAGCAGCAGCACAACTAGCAGCACAACTAGCAGCATAACCAGCAGCATAACCAGCAGCAGCAGCATAAGCGGCAGCAGCAGCAGCGGACTTTGACGGGTGTGGGGAAGTTGACTCTGGCGGGGGTGTAGACGGTGGCTGTGGAGCCGAGCAGCACAACCAGCAGCATAACCAGCAGCATAACCAGCAGCAGCAGCAGCATAACCAGCAGCAGCAGCAGCAGCAGCAGCGGACTTTGACAGGCGTGGGGAAGGTGACTCTGGCGGGGGTGTAGACGTTGGCTGTGGAGCCGAGCAGCATAATCAGCAGCACAACTAGCAGCACAACCAGCAGCATAACCAGCAGCAGCAGCAGCATAACCAGCAGCAGCAGCAGCAGCAGCAGCAGCAGCAGCAGCGGACTTTGACGGGCGTGGGGAAGTTGACTCTGGCGGGGGTGTAGACGTTGGCTGTGGAGCCGAGGCCGAGGCGGCCGTAGAAGCCGGCGCCCCAGGAGTAAAGGAGACCCCTCGCAGTCAAGGCCAGCACGTGGCTTTGCCCTGGAGCGGCAAAGGAGACAAAAGGAGACACTTTTGGAGCCTTTTTTGACGCTTTTGAAGGAGAAACGGCGGGCGTTTGGAGGGGACTTTGAGGGGCATTTGGGGGGCAAGTTGAGAAGAAAAAAGGAGACAAAAAGGAGACAAAAAGGGGGAGAAATGAGCGGGGAAAGGAGACAAAAGGAGACAAAAGGAGACACAAGGAGACACTTTTGAACCATTTTTTGACGCTTTTTGGAGAACAACGGAGGGAATTTGAAGGGGAATTTGAAGGGTGGTTGGGGGGGCAAGTTGAGAAGGAAAAGGGAGACAAAAAGGAGACAAAAAGGGGGAGAAATGAGCGGGGAAAGCAGACAGAAGGAGGCAAAAGGAGACACTTTTGAAGCAATCTTAAGTGGTTTTTGAGGGGCTATAGAGGGACTTCGAAAGATGTTGTGGTTGGGGGAAAATTGAGGCGAAAAAGGAGACAAAAAAGGAGACAAAAAGGGGCAGAAATGAGGACAAAGAAGGAGACAAACAAAGGCATTTAAGGGACAAATAAAGGGACAAAAAAAGATAATTGGGGGGCAAAAGGAGACACTTTTAGGCGAGAAATAAAAAGATGAAGGAGACAAATAAAGGGAAAATGAAAAGACAAATGTGGGGTCAAATACGGGGGACAATCTGAGGCAAGAAACGAGACAGTAGGAGGCAAAAAAAAGAATCGAAAAAGAGACAAAAGGAGACACATGAGAGGACACAGGAGACAAAAGGAGATAAAAGGGAGAAAAAAGGAAAAAAAGGAAAAGAGGAAAGAATACAGAAGGGAGACAAAAAGGAGACAAAAGGGAGCCCAAAAGAATAGAAACAAGGCCAAGAAATATCCCAAAAAGAAAGAAAGGCACGAAAGATATTAAAAAAAAGAGAAAGAAAAGGCATAAAAGATATTAAAAGGAGAGAAAAGAAGAGTTGCGAAAAACCCTAAAAAGGGGAAAAGGAAAAGGCAAGGAAGCCATTAAAAGCAACAAAAATGGGGAAAAGAAAGGTTGCGGAAAACCCTGAAAAGGGGAAAAGGCAAAGCAAGAAAGGCACTGAACGGAGAAAGAGGGACGAGAAAGGCAGGAGAAGAGGCGTGCAAACCCTAAAAAAGGGTTTGGCGCTTCGGACCGAGGGCGAGTTTGGAGACAGCTGCGGGGAGAGACACGACGTGGGGGACAGTGACGGCGCCGCCGAGGACTTGTTCTCCAAGTCCGAGTTTGCCGCTGTCTGCTGCGCCCCACATCCAAAGGTCTCCGGCCTGCAGCACGTCCTCCGCAGCAGCAGCAGCAGCAGCAGCAGCAGCAGCAGCGTCGCCGAGGCCCGCAGTGATGCATGCGCTGTAGTTGGGCCCGGCGA